CCAGCAGCCTAGGCCGGGCGGCAACGCCAGCGGCCCGGGGCAGAAGGAAGCAGGCCAGGAGGAAGCCACTGGGGGTGGGGACGACGCTCCCAGTTCTCGGTCCCATCACCCTCCAAGGCCCCCTCGACAGCTCCCTGATTACGGGAATAACAGCAGCCAAAGCCCCAAACAGAAAAGAGGGTGCCACCTCATCGCAGGTCTGGCGGGGAGAATTGGGGGCCAGAGGAGGGTCCCCATATCGGGCAGCTGGAAGGCGCAAGCTGATGCCGCGCTGTGAAGCGCAGTGGGCCTGGCCTTCTGGCCCCCACGACCTCCATTTTGCCCTAAAGAAAGCTGGGTGGGGGGCAGGAGCCTGAGAACTAGGCTTGGGTTAGCACTTGTAAAGGAAATAAGGTACCGAGGTCTCCAGTTTAGGGCTTGGGGGCCAGAAGCCGCAGCCAAAGACCAAATCGAGAGTAGGGTGGAGACGAAGGCAAGGGTGGCCTCGCGGCCTTGCCCGTCTCTCCCCGGATTCTGGAGTTTTATAAGGCAAATGCCGGCAGGGGTGCGAAACGGGTGGACACGAGGGGTGCCATCCAGGGCAGGCGGGAGGGTGGTGGTGGGGAAAGGGGGCGGGACAGGGCCTAGAGGGAGCTCGGAATTTAGCCCCCCAACTATTAAGGGAGCAAGAGGCAGACGGGGCTGGGATTGGGTCTGGGGTCGGGAAAACACCGCTGATGGTGCAGGGATCGCATGCATTATTGGGGCCCTGGGTCCCCCAGTTCCCCTTCCGGGTTTGGAAGCTACGGGGCCAGAGGAAGGGAGGGGAGGTCTGGAGAGTTACGTCCGCTCCCAAGAGGCTAGATCGGGGAGACAGAAGAAGGGACATTTCCCCGTGGGAATTTGGGGCTGGGGGGAATGAGCACTCCTTTCGTCAGCGGAGGTACCTGTGGCGGTAGGACTCTGCGAAGGGATCGCTGGAGGAGCGCGGGAGGTCCTGTCTTCCTCCGCGGCGGAGGCGGCAGCGGCGGCGACGCGGATGGATTTCCTCAGTCACCCCAACTCAACCGCCCAGCGCTGCTCTCCCCAGAGCGGAGGGATCCCGCCCGCCAGTGACGCGGCTCTCGCCGCCGCGCCCAGGGCCCGGCTGGGCGAGACCAAACTAGCTAGTGGGGGGAGGCCAGAAGAGGAAGCATCACTTCGAGGGCAAAAACTGACTCGGTCACAACAAAGATACTACTTCGTGTAATTTCGATGCTAAAGGGACCAAAATAATGTTTGCTTCCAGAAGAGGCGTAAGACTTCTCCTCTGGGGCTGGCAGAGATGGTACCGGCATAGGGGAGGGTGAAAAAAAAAAAAAACTCGCTGATCACGTGACACGTCCCCGGCCCCTCCCGAATTGGGCGGTTCCAGACCGGGAAGGGGAGCTCGAAGCCCCAGTTCTTGATTTAACCACGCCCCTCCCTGGTGATGCCCCGCCCCTCTGCTGGAGGAGGAGTTAGAGAGATCCGGGCTGGAGCTGGACTGGGCCTGACTCCAGGCGGCTGGAGGAAGAGCCGCGATTTGGGCTGTACGGGTCAGGGTTGGGGCCGCTGCGAGCCGGAGTAATTGAGGCAAGTCTTGCTCAGGCAGTTTATCTGTGTTGCCCAGTGGGCTTTTGTAGACCACCCTGTACAGGGCCACATGCCACTGTAATGACTATTCACATTTGTTGAAATCCATGCTTGTTATTTAATCCGCACATCAATATTGTGAAGTAGCAGCAGTACCCTGATTTTATAGTAGTGAAACAGACCCAGGCTGCAGAGTGGAGATACGAACCCAGGAAGCCTTAAGACTTTATTGTGCAGTTATATCTTATACAATTTCTTTATGTAACCCCACTGTGGACCACCCGAAGGTATGAGAATGTCAGTATAGGCCTCAGTTTACACATCTGTTCAATGAGGGGTTGAAGCCTTCTGCACTGCCAAGCCTTTTGAATTATCATGGGATCCCCATGGTTGTGAAAACACTTTGGAAAGTTCAACATATTGCCTTCATGGATTCCTCATAACAAAAGCACCAAAGCATTCTATTCATTAGCCTTTGAAAAGCCCTAAATAGCTTTCAGAAGCACAACTTTTTTTTTTTTAAGAAAAAAAGTGACATTCTTTGTTATGCATAAATTCTATTTATGTGCACCCAGCAACTAAATGACGTATTTGCAACAGATAATAGATGTCAATTAGACAACAGAATTTGGAAGGGACTTTATAGATAATTTTCAGTTTTATCTTCTACAAAGGGACATAGTGACTTCCCCCAAGGCACTTTAGCAGCCTGAGACTAGACCCAATTCTGTCAATCTTTATAGGGCATTTGATGCTGCTTTATCTCACTCTGGTTTCTGCGTTAATATGCTTTCTTGGTTTAACTCATTCAGCTAAAATTTACTGAACCCCAATGATGTGTGCTTTGTGTGTCCTAGCACTGAGGATACAACCACAAACAACATGTGCATCTCTTCAGCCTGCCTGGACACAGAGATGGATGATACATGGGCAATGAAATAGCAGTGCTGGTAGTCTGGAGATGTCTTTCTTTCTTTTTTTTTTTTAATTTTAATATTTATTTTTTAGTTTTTTCGGTGGACACAACATCTTTGTATGTGGTGCTGAGGATCGAACCCGGGCAGCATGTATGCCAGGCGAGCGGCGCTACCGCTTGAGCCACATCCCCAGCCCTTTTTTTTTTTTTTTTTTTTTAACAGTACTGGGGATTGAATCCAGAGGCATTCTACCACTGAGCTACATCCCCAGCCCCTTTTTAGATTTTCTTCTTTTGAGACAAGGCCTCACTAAGTTGTCAAGACTGGCCTCAAATCTTCTATCCTCCTGGCTCAGTCTTTTGAGCCACTGAGATTACAGACAGCCAGCTTGGAGATGTCATTTATTGGGAAGGGACGCATTTGGGGAGGAAGATCAAGAGTTTTAGATTGGGATGTTTTAGATTTGAGGTGCCAGGAGAAAATGCTTAATAGGAAGCTGAAGAAGAAGGTCTAGAGCTCAGCAGAGAAATCTGAGTTGGAAATGAGCCCCAAAAGTGAGTGGCAATTCAAGCAGATGAAGTCATAAAGAGGTTCAGAGAAAAGACAAGATGGCCTAACACCAAAGCTCTGAGGAACTCTAATATTTAGAGGTCAGGTAGAGCACAAGCTGCCAAAGGAGAAATCAGAGAGCTAAGAATAAAATCAGGAGAATGTGGATTTCTGGAACCCAAAAGAAAAGAGTCTTCCCGAAAGGGGATGGTAAATTGTGTTGAATACTACAGAGATGAAGCAGGACTGCACGGAGAAGTGCTTAAGGATTGGGTAAGATGGATGGTAACTTTGTTCTGCGCAGTCGCAGTGGAGAGGCACTGGTAACTTTGTTCTGAGCAGTCGCAGTGGAATCTAGCTAGGCATCTACATGCAGTGGCTTAGGGTGAATGAGCAGTAAGGTAGTGGAGACAACCAAAGTGGTTAAGACTTTGGCAGTGTTAGCTCGGAGGGGTGAAGATGGGGCAGCAGTGGAAAGAGAATATGGAGTCCGATATTTGCTTTTTATTTTTGGTGGGGGGATATGGTGCTGGGGGTTGAATGCAGGGCTTTGCACATGCTGGGCAAGCGTTCTACCACTGAGCTACATCCCCGGCCACAAGATATTAAGATATCTGAATTTGGATGGGAACTACTTGAGCTCATTTAGAGGATAATGGGAAGGACAGAAGGAGAGAGGTAAAGGATACAGGCAGGTAGGGAATGACCCATGGGGGTGACCCACGTGTGGAAGAAGGCAGAAGCCCTAGAGCACACGTGGAGGATGGGGCTCTGACAGGTCACCAGGACATTACCTGTTCCTTCTCAGTCAGCTTGGACTATACTCCTCCTTAGGGCAATCTACAAATGTTGCTTTTCCAGGATCTTGACTTTGGCCTTTTCTTCTCATTTGCCATGTTATTCCTTAGTGACTTCATCCACTTTTGTGACTTTATCCCCTAATTGCGCATAACTCTCAAAGCCCAGATGTCTCTTCCCTGTGTGCAGACTTGGTACATGTCCAACTGCAGACTGAATATCTGCATTTGGATGCTCATGGGCAGTGGTGTGCTGGCGTCAGCTGGTGCCAGCTCATATCAGCTCACAAGAGCTCATTATACACCTCTCTTCCCAACTCCTTGTTTAGTGAATTAATGTTGGTTGTAGTGACTTGAAATTGCCTATGGTGAGAGTATTTACATCTTGGAAATCGGCAAATTCTTCTGATCAGTGCTTCCTTTCCCTGAAGATCTGATTGTTAAAACATTTACTGCACACTGCTGTTTGCAGACAGTCTCCACTCAACATATTCTGAACTAAATCACCTTCCCCTGGACCCCATCCTGCCAAACCCTATCCTTTCCTTCAATCTCTTTGCCAGTTAACAGCACCCAGGAGTGTCCTACTAACTCATTCCCCATATCCAAAGAATGGTCATTTAGTTAAGGTATAGGGTAAGCTATTAAAAAAAAAAAGAGTTCTCAAAATTCAATGACTTAAGTGATAATTGCAATATAGATACTCCAGGATGATGGGGGCATCTAGACCATCTTCAACATCTCTGTGTCCAACATGGCCCACGAAGCAACCACTGTCATATCTGAATCGCATGCATTGGGAAGTGGGGTCGGAAGAACAAGTTCTTCCCTATGGGACATCACTGGTTTCTGCACAGAAGCCAGTCAGATGCAAGGAAGACTGGGACATGTAGTCTTCACCTGTGCATCCAGATATAATATTATTAATAAAGAAAAAAGGGAGCTGGGTGCAGTGTGGTGCATGCCTGTAATCTGCTACTCAGGATGCTAAGAGGAGGATTTGCAAGTTTGAGGCCAACCTCGGCAACTTAGCAAGACCTGGTCTCAAAATAAAATTTTGAAAAAGGGCTGGGGATGTAGATCAGTGATTGAATGCTTGCCTAGCATGTGCAAAGCCCCAGGTTCCCCAGTACTGCAAAAAAGAAAAAAGGGAAATGGCTGGTGGGTGACAGTCTGAGACCTCGCCGCCAAGCTGGGAACCGGAGAGATGGCCGAGACTGACCCCAAGACCGTGCAGGACCTCACCTCGGTGGTGCAGACACTCCTGCAGCAGATGCAAGATAAATTTCAGACCATGTCCGACCAGATCATTGGAAGAATTGATGATATGAGTAGTCGCATTGATGATCTGGAGAAAAACATCGCAGACCTCATGACACAGGCTGGGGTGGAAGAACTGGAAGGAGAAAACAAGATACCTGCCACACAAAAGAGTTGAAGGTTGCTAATTACCCTGAAATCTGGAACACCATTTTTCCAAGCCAAGAGAAGACTGAATGGCTTTTTGCAACTAACTACTACTAAGTGTAGACAGGTTTTATATTATAGTGCATTCTTATCACATATAATAAGTTTTTAGAGTGATTTTTCTCTCCAGTTTCTGGAACATGGTATCTTCACATCTTGAAACTTGGTCAGTTGTGCTCTTAATTATTAAACACTAAAATTTTGGCAGTTCCTGCATAACATTGTCAAACTTTTTAGTGTATTTTTGTGAAGTCCTTTTTTCCTGCCATTCTTTTGTAGTAGTTGCTGTTTGATAAAAGTTGCTGTATAATTTTTTATTAGATAAGTAGTAAATCCTTCAATTATTGTTGGACTTGGTGAAGTAAAACATTTGTAGAGTTTGGATTCTTTCATTTTCAGCACAAAGTGACTGTTGTGCTAACACTAAATAATGTGTTGGCGATACTTTCCAAATGGCTAGAAGTTGTTTATTCAGAAGTGTCTGTCACTACTTTGTTGCCAAAACTCCATTGAACCACAACTTATGACTAGTCTGTGAGATCAGATGCTAAAGTCAGTGAAAAGTAACCACTGCCACTGTACTGCGTTAGCATTTTTAAATACAGGAAATACTCGAATAGCCTGATGTCATGAGGCATTCGTTAGAGTTTTGCATGAGATTCTAATACTTCAGTAGGCCTCTAGTTGTTCATCTACAATGGTTACCACAAAAAAAAAAAAAGGGCAGGATTTTAAACTCAATTATTCCATCCTTTCTTTGAGCTACTGATTGAAAAAGAGAAAAAGAAGAGAGAATATTAAGTCTGTGCCAATCATTTGGCTAGAAAATTATGAATGACTGGTAGTAGGCTCAGGTTTTTGAACAATTTCTTACCTAAATTCTTTCAGAGTAATAATTTTTGTTACTGATTATAAAAGACAGAGTTAATAACATTTGCCATTCAAAACTGCAGTGACCATGGTCTTCATAAAGGCAAACCCAGAAAAGAGTAGGGTTTAAGTCTCCCATATCACCAGTCTTGTTTGTATTGCAAATATATAATATTAAGAAAAAAAAAAAAAGGGAAATGGCTATTGGTATAAGGCTAGCTAGCTTTTTAAAAATTTCTGCTCCTTCTCCTCCTTCTTCCTCTCTCTCTCTCTCTCTCTCTCTCTCTTCTCTTTTCTTTTCTTTTCTGTTGTGGTGCTGGGGATCAAACCCAGGACCTTGAGCATGGTAGGCAAGCATTCAACCACTGACCTACATCCCCAGTCCTCAGGGCTAGCATTTTGTCACTGGTGCTACCTCTTGAATAGTGTGTGTGTGTGTGTGTGTGTGTGTGTGTGTATCCCTTATACTGTATGCCAACTGTTATTACCATAGTTCTTGCCTATTTCCTGGCCTCTAGAATTGTCCCTTTCCAATCAGCCTACCTAACGGCTGCCAGAGATATCTCTAAACCTGCAAATTGCGTAATATAACTTACTTGTTCAAAAGCATGCAGTATGACTGGGGTGTAGCTCAGTGGTAGAGAGCTTGCTTAGCTTGTGGGAGGCCTAGGTTCAATCCCCAGTGCTGCAAAATAAATAAATAAATAAAATATTTCAAGCCATGCAGTAGTTCCCCCATGGATTCCCTGAGGAGAGCCAAGCCTTCGTGTATGACATATAGACCAGGTCTTGTCCTTCTCGACTCAAAATGCCTTCCACCCCCACTCCAACTCTGTCTCCTTGTCTGCCAGAAAGTCGGGCCATTTTCTGGGACTTAGTTTAAATGTTCCTCTCTGACCACATTGTTTTGTGTCACACTGCAATGCTGGCTGCATTCCTATTGCAGGCTTTATTAGACTGTGTATTTCTGGGCACCCGCCACCAACACTGGGACAGGGGCTCTCTGTAAAGCCAAGGCACTTGGTTTATCTGGCAGAAGGGCTGGATAAGTGCTTGGCCAATAAGGAACAGACCTTACAAGATGCCAAATCATTTCCAAGATGGGGATCTGAGAGGCTTGACCCTGGCCCCAGCACCTTGGACATCATTACCTGATGCTCAAGTTTGACCAACCTGAACATGGATTTGGAATGTGACCGTGTCTAGAAGACTCTATTAGATTAATTGTTTAATCATCCATCTTCCTGGATGGACATTAAACTGAAGTTACATATTGTCCTCTGAGCCATTTTATTCCCAGTGCCTATTAGGCACCTAGAGAACATGGATAGAATGAATAGAAGAAGCCTGACAACATTTGCCGCAGAATCAACACTTTCCACATGTCTCAGTTTAAGTCTCAACTTAGTCTGGTTGCTATTGAGACTAAATGAACTATTATTTGTAAAACATTTATAGCAATGCCTGGCATATAGAAAGCACAAAGTGTCTACTAAATGAAAACAGAGTTGCATGGGACTTGGGGTGTAGCTCAGTAGTAGAGAGAATGCCTAACATGTGTGAGGCCCTGAATTCTGTCCCAAGCATGATGGGGGGGGTTGTAGGAATGGACCATTTGATCTTTAATTATTTTCTAGTCTTGTCTTCCCCTAACCCCACCCCCCAACACTGCCCTCCTTCTAGACTGAGTTTCTATTTCCACATATTCCAGAATTTTACATGTCTTCAAATCTTTGCACATGCTGTTCTCTGTGCAAATATTTCCCACTTTGTTCACCTCTGTGCCCCTATAAATACTTCCCAGTTCAGCTCAAACTTCATTTTGAGATACCTTCCCAGAGACATATAGTTGCAGGCATGAAGAAGGCATAAAAGATGTCTGCTGAATCAATAAAGGGACAAATGTCGAATTAGATCCCATGACAAATGCAAATTGGCCACAGTTGGCTGGGAGGTAAATCGAGTCTTATACCTTGCTGACCATAGCTTTTCTTCCTACCACAAGAGGAAAATTCACTTCTCATTACCAGGCTTCTAACTTATGCATAATATAGTAAAGCTTCAAAAAACTCCTAAAGGACATTTTTTTTTTTTTTAGGTGTAGGTGACACAACACAATGCCATCATTTTTATGTGGTGCTGAGGATCAAAACTGGGTCCTGCCCATGCTAGGGGAGCCCTCTCCCGCTGAGCCACAATCCCAACCCCCTAAAGGACATTTTTATGACCCAGTGTTCACTGAATAGTCCTGTGTACCCAGCTGTCAGCCAGGCACTTGATTCTGTCATCAGACTGAGTCCTCACCACAAGCTACCTTAAGGGTGGAGACAATGAAGCTTGAGAGGAGCACAGAGGTGTTATGAAACAGGTCATATCTCAACTGGCTGATAAGAGATATAGGTTCTAATCCTGGTTCTGACCCCAGTGAGCTTCATGATCCAGACAGAGCCTTCTCTCTATCTGGGGAAACCCTTATAAAACCCCAGGGTGAAGAGGCGGGTGTGAATTCATGATTGGTAAAGTTTCAAAATCTGAGAGGATTTGGGGGAATGCGGCAGGGGAGCAGGTAATGGGAATTTACAAGGTGACTTCAGAAGAAGTGAGGCAATATCATTAAATGTCAACAGAAGGAGAGGTGCAGGCCATGAATAGAATTGCTTCCCTCTCAGCATTCCTTTGATCCTCTTAACATTTTGAAAGATGAAGAAATGCAGGTCTCACCAGGGACAGTGGTCTCTGCCTGTAATCCCAACAGCTCTGGAGGCTGAGATAGGAGGATCACAAGTTCAAGACCAACCTCATCAACTTATAGCAACTTAGCAAGGCCCTAAGAACCCTTGTCTAAAAAATAAAACAAAAAAAGGCTGAGGATGCTACCCAGAGGCTAAGCAACCCTAGGTTCCCAAAATAAATAAATAAATAAATGCAGGTCTCAAGAGCTTAAGGGGCCATCCAATTCATCAAGGTATCGATTTATAGAGGTCAATGATTGATCAAGGGTCACTCGAGAAAATCTCAGGATCTCCCAGTCAGCTATGTTCTCTACAGCTTATCACTCTTGCTGATAGCAGGAGTCCTCCAGTCTAGGAAGCCACAACTGAACTCAGAATTAATCCTGGGCATGTAAAATGCTATTGTCACCAGTAGATAACCCATGAGCCAACTCAATCCATCTGACCTTTGGCTGGGAAAAGTGAGGTCCTTCCAGAGTGGGCATTTGATGAGCAGAGAACCTTCAAGAGCAGGGGACTGTCACACAGTGCTCTTTTCCTATGCCACCTCTGGTCTCAATGCACCCTCCACCCCCAACAAATCCCAACACACAAGTGTATCTACATTACATATGTCTACACATACTCACAAACACCAGCACACACACATGCTCAACTAACCCAGGCTGTCAGAGATGCTCCTTCACCTTCCCCAGCAAAAATGCCCTGAAGGTGGGACCAGCAGCCCCAAAGAACCTAGGAAGCTACCAAAATACCCACTTCTTGATCAATGCCTCCTGAGAATAGGTGTCTAAATAGAAAGATGGGGCAAGGTGTCTAAAGCCCGATTAGCTGAGTACCAATGTGTGAACACATGTGCACAGATGTGTACGTGTAAGGCCCAGGCTCCAGGGGATGGTCGAGGAAAAAAAGTGGTCATCAGAAAGACAAAGATGGAAAGAATCAGAGAGAGACAAGAGACACCCCCCACACATACACCTCTGGTCCCTCTTTCTATCTTTCCATCCTCCCTCTCCCGGTAATTTCATTCAGGCCCGAGTGTGACAAAGCCTTGCTCAGGAGCCTGTGGATGGTTGACTCTTCAGGTGCTCCAGGGCACCTTCACCCCCCACCCTATTTTAAAAATGAAGGGAGCAGGGACCTCATCAGTCACCATACAGAGTCCTGGTCTCCGGATGGAAAGGGTCTCCATCTCTATTCCTACTCTTCTCTCTGCCGCTTATTCCGCCTATTCCGTAGGTCCTGTCAGCGTTTTTATCTACTCCACCCTCATCCCTACACCGCCCCCAGAACACCGATGCGGCTGCCCCTTTAAAGCAGCGGCCCCCGGCTGGGTTATTGTCTGGCCTCTCAGCCAATCCGCGGCGCCGTTGGGGGCGGGGGATCCAGCCTCCTGATTGGCCGCCGCGCGCCCCTCCCGCCCGGGATCCCGGGAGCTGTCCGGCCGCCTCGGTGCTGATCCCACCGCCGCCCACGGGCCGCGAGCGGTATTAAGAGGGCACTATGAGCGGGGGCGTCTACGGCGGAGGTGAGCCAGCCTTGGGCTTCGGGCTCCCAGCCCCGCGCGGCCTGGCCCGCATCCCTGCGCCCCGAACCCGCGCGACCCAAGCCTTGGGCACCCTGGGGCCTGTCACCTTCGCGCTCGAGCAGATCAGCGCGAGGTTTGTGTCTCCCGCCACCTCTACCTTCGGTGACGGCCCCGAGCGCACCGGGCCTAACCTCTCCACTATACAACCCGCCTCCGCCCGGCCAATGGCCCCTTGCTTCCCCTCCAGGAGAGTGGCTTGAACAAGGCCAGTGGGTGAGAGGGACTCTGACAGCTTGACCCTCCACTCCCAGGACCCCGAACTCCAGGCCTAGCTCCCACCTGCTCCCAGCAGATATTGACTGTGGCGAGACCGGCTGTGCCCTGAGCTCCTCTTGAAACTACCCCCCGGGGGAGAGAGTTCGGGGGAGGTCCCCTCACACTCCTGTCTCTCTGCACAGATGAGGTGGGGGCGCTGGTCTTTGACATTGGCTCCTTCTCAGTCCGCGCTGGGTACGCTGGGGAGGACTGCCCCAAGGTGAGCCTTCCAGCCCCTTCCCCAAAACCTAGGGATTCTGGACTTAGCTTCAGGCTTCCTGTGACTCAGAGCTTTCACAGCCCAGCCCCAAAGC